TAAACAACTCTTCTCACACCATCATAAACTTTATTTTCTTTTAAAAGTTACATAACATTACCAAAACATAATTCCTTGCAATGAACGACTGTAATAGTTATCGTCACTTCTCATAAGAAACAAGTTCGATTACCTTAATAACGATCAAAATTTGAATCTCATAAGCGTAATGAATGCATTGTCGCAAAACACAAAAATATCTAATTTAAACGGTATTTTCATAAGTTTCGTACGCACCACAATCGTTTACATTCAGCACAATCGTTTACATGTACTGAATGCAATAAGAACAATGTTTTCAACTTACACGCATTCATTAATAGGCAAAATACATCATAATTCAATCGTACAATCACATAAATAAAGCTACACATTAATTTTATATCGATCAGCATTAAAACCCGACCAATTATCAACAATTCATTAAAACCAATACAAGTGAATTATATTTCATTTGGTCTCGAATTCAATTCTCTGATCTCAACATTGAGCCATCTGTTTAGTGATTAAAACTTCTTTGCCATTCAAAAATTCATAAAACGAATTTCCGATTTTTCGGCTGGAAAAACCGTACCATCGACGAATGATCACGTACGTCATTCAACCCGATGGTAGCCAACTGTTCAATATGTCGATCAAACACTAAAATATGACAGCTACTCTTCGAATGCCCTTCACTAACAGCACCATTTTTGAACACCACATTTGCGTAAAATCACGAAAGACGCTGGGTTGGAGTGGGTTATGGTTCGTACATTTCGGTTGAGTTTGTGTAGAAACGATAGGAATTACCCAGCATGACAACGACAACAAACAACGAAGACATCTTATACACTTAAGAGAACGATCGATCAACACAAATCATTCATAAAATCAAATCTATTGCTAACAAAAAATAAATTATTGCGATAAGATTGAAAAAAAAACATTGAATCAACAAATTCTTCTCGCCGAAAAAAATACCCACAAGATCACCACAAGTGACAAATTTGATTCACAGTTTCATAAAAAACACGAATTTGATGATGCAATCCTGCGAGAATCCTACCAAAAGTTTACACAATCGAATATGCAATTCTAATTTTCAGCTTCACTGAGTATATGCCCATCGACTGCATCATCAACAAGAAAATTATTTGCAATGTTCTTATCGAACTCACCGCATTAAGTAACACAACGTCTGTATAATTCTTATATGAGAAGCAGATTCAATGAGGACTGATGAAAGCTGTTCAACGAATGATATTTGAGAAGAACATTCAAGTTCAAATAAAAATTCATTTGAACAGATGGAAATACTTTTATGGAAAAGAAGGTGTTGAAAGTAGGGTTTAGGCATAATGAAACAAGTGAAAAAATCAAGATAAATCGGCATTCAACATATACTGACAACCATAATTCAATAATAATACAAACTATCAAAAACGATTTGTGAGTTACTCAAACGATACAGTAGTCTATTATGAGCTATAATGAAACGAGAAATGCTTCATTGACGTCAATCACTATCTTGATGTTAGGCGCTGTTGTAAGTTGATGAATGAATGATGAATAAATTGATGACGAAACGATCAGAAAACAAAACCGATTGAATAAAAGATAGCAGCCCTATGAATCGAGCTGACGACATTGCTCGCACGAGATCAATCAATCGTTCAAGATGGTCTTCTGAAATTCATGACTGCTACTTAGTANTCACCTATGAAAGCTCATAACCATAACGTTTGCAGTGACTGATATCTACAAATACCATTGATTTTCCAACCATCCAGCCTTACTCAAACTGGCTTCATTCAACAGTCGGCACGGCAGTAACATAAGTGTTATGTTTGCCAACAAACAAAAAAGACAACGGTAATGGCACTAACGTTGTGAGTCGTTCAACCGCAGCCTGAATTTCAGACTCAGTAGCTTGCGGGAACGCGATGGTTGTTAGAAGCTCAACGAGCAACTGGTCGCATACACCCGGACAGTTTCGTTCGGCATGTTTCAGCGCAATGCCAACCGCATCTAAATCCGCTCCGGAGTGTCGAGTTCGAGCCAATTTCTCCAAAGCGGGCAGAAGCGTGTACTCCAGTGCACCCTAAATAACTGACAAATGAGTTGGCACAAAACTATCACATAAAACGCCGTTACTGCACTTGCTGGAATCACTCTGCTTCTCACAGAGATAACACATTGTCACCATCTAAACAGTGTAACGTGAATTCAGTTAAACCTTTGCACTTAACTGTTAAATTAAAAAAAGTCGAACAGATTTGGACAATAAAATGTATGAATATTGTTTGCAAGGCCAGCAACCTTCTTCCGTTGTTGTTGTTGTTGAGATGGCGGTTTGTGGTCGTAAGCGGGCTGTTGTTGAGGTTCGGATGCTGAGAAATTGGCACTGTTTGAATACTGATTGTGATAAGATGTTGATGATTGCTGTGTGGACGTTGATGATGTGGCTGGATGAGAATGTGAAGAGGGAATATCGTTGGGTTCGACGTTGGATGGTAAGGAATCATTCATGGTTATGCTTTGATAAAGATTTTGTTGTGTTGTTGGATGATACTTTGGATTGTAGTTGGCGGATCTTGTGTTCGAAGATGGTAGTGACTGCTGAGATTTAGACACATACGGCTGTTGCTGTCGCTTCAGTGACGGTGTCTGTAAGCGATTATTCATCACAACTCTCACAATCAACACCATCTCATTCTCAATCTCTATTCGTGATCAAAATACGTGTATTAATGGAACAAACCAAAGAACTTCATTACAGATGCACTTCATTCAGAACGGAATTGCAACCTTCTGATTAGAGACAAGAGATTTAGACTGAAACGTCAATGAAGAAGCACAAGCAGCAATAGCGAACGCACAACACAAACTCAGTTTGCATTAAATAACGGAAATGTAAATGATGTATGATCAAATAAATGATGCAGAATAATAATGACGAAACACGGAAACAAACAAACAGGAGAAGTGTCCGGTGAAACGACAGCAACTGTAGTGGCATTGACAAATTGCGAATTATTAGTTGAGTCATTTTGTGAGGACGATGACGAATGGATTCGAATAGATGCATTTTGAGGTTGGTTTTGAAGATACTTCGTGGATTGGGACGATGACGAGGAGGCATTTCTGTACGGGGCAGCATTCGCAGACGATTGACGAATTGATGACTGACGTAGTTCGTTAGCGATTTGTACGATCCGCTTCAATTGATTTCAATTACACTACAGCCATTGCTGGTCTCTTCGTTGGTATTTAAATGATCTAATGCATACTTTCTTCAAGATACTACATTTTGCAAGTTTTGAACTCTAGCTCAGCACAGAACAATTTTCAAATATTATTCTTTCAAGAATTATTCCTTTCTAAAATTATTAAGAGCTAAAAAAGTAGCATTATATGGCATCACATGAATGGATATTATGAATGAATCTCACCGGATCACCGTTATTTCGACCAACGATTGTACCGTCAGGACTCGATTCACGTCCATCCGGACTTGAATCACGCATTCTCGCGTTGGACGGCACAACTGGCGCACGAGTGCCGTTATTCAAGCGCACTCGTACCGTATCTTGATCATCGCTTTCTTTCACCGCCGCTTTTTGCGGAGCACGAACTGTTGAGAACTCCCAATCGTTGGGGCTAAAATGATCGAACATCAACGGTCTGCGATATTAATGGAGCAGAACAAGATCACAGCGCAGCGATTCTAGAATGAGATGACAATACCCGTGGATGGAATCAATATCATCGTCCTGATCAGAATCCGAGCTCGGTCCCAATCGTGCTTTATATTCGGCACTTCTTTCAATTAGCTCAATCAATATGCTGTTCTTCTTTGCACGTCGCACAAAGGGATGCTTAAGCAGTTCTTTTGCAGTTGGCCTCTGAAAGTTTTCATATTCGACTGCTTCTCAGACATAAATATGCAGTCGATGCAAGTAAAGTCAACCGATGAAACACTTCGCTTGATAACTACTCACATTTTCGGGATCCTTGTTGAGACAAAGCTCGACAAACTCTTTGAATGTTTTTGTCCATTGTGATCCGGTGAGTTGAGGTGATGGATTCTTGGGGATCAGGAAGAGAACACGCATCGGATGCAAATCTGAATGAGGTGGTTCTCCGTTTGCTAATTCGATTGCTGTTATACCCAAACTCCATATGTCAGCCTAAAATCGATATCAATAACAAATGATCAGCTATCATCCAAAAAAAACTGTTAGTTTGCAGATGAGTATATATTCCTCGACAGTTAAATGCCTGAACTCAACATCGATTACATGAGTGTCAGTCAATGGGAACCGTGTAGGAAAATTGCACAGCAAGCCAATGACTGCTGGAGGTATCTTGAACGGGATCCGAGTAAGGTATCAAAAGAGTCTTCAATGATCCCCCTGACCTCGTCCACATTCCGATGATCTTTCCATTCAAAAACAGCTTTCTCAATTAGTTGGCAAGCAAGTGATCAAGAACAGCTTTGCGCTCATTCGATTGCATACTTTATAAGCAACGTGATATGAAACGTTGAACTGAGAAAATCATTCTATGTGTATGGAATATGAATAAATGAATATGCTAGATTCTGTCATAAAACCGACAATATTCGATGTTGTTGAAGGAAAAAATGAAGAAACGAATGCTGTCTTCGCTGCAAGCAAAAGAATTTAACAGTACGTCGACTGCAGCAAATTAAAACTATATCTAACTATTCGAAGAACAACGAACAACAAACACCAAATATATGAAGCGCTCCATCCTCTCTCGTTTATGAAAAAAAGAACGATATTCCTAATGTCCAAAAGCAGCTTAACAAAAATAAACCACAGACTGAGTGTACGGTGACGTAAGCTGAAGCTTAAGCTAGACTGGCGTAAGCAAGGAAAGAGGACAATGAACAACCTTGAAGTCGTATGAAGCTTGTTTAATCACTTCAGGTGCCATCCAGAAAGGTGTTCCAACGAAAGTGATTCGTTTCTTAACGGTTTCGGTCAATTGACCAGCCACACCAAAGTCAGCAACTTTAACATCGCCATGTTCCGATAACAACACGTTTGCTGCTGCAATGCACACAGAACAATTTCACAAGAAAACAGAGAGGAGTTAAGCATTTCAACGAGAGTATTTGTTGACTGCATGAACGAAGGTATGTATATGCTGTGATACGATCGCATATCACCGGAACTGTAAGCAGCTAAGCTGAATCTTCATTGAATGCTGTTACAAATTCAAGCGAACACAACCACTGCCCACTTGTACAGACAGATATACCAACCAGCACTATTGCGAGAAAATGACTGGCTGATGGATAGCATGTAATAGAGAACGGCGTAAATAATGAGTCAACAATGATTAACCTTTCTTCTGAAGAGATAAATGAAGGTATGAATGTTCAGATTCGAAATAGAATCAGTTAGAAGGGAAGTAACCGGAATGACAAACGATGATAATAAACGATGATAATCGAAGGACATTTGAAAGGAGGAAAATACTCGTAAAAGAACGCAGAAAAGCGTTTGAATTATGTTGCAAACAAGTGAATGGATAACATTGCTACAGATTAGTGGTAAATCCGGCAATATTGCTATCAAATTTTAATAAATCAATGCGCATCACACAGAAACAAAGACAACACAGGCAAGATTTCACGAACAAAGTCTGAAATGCGCACAAAAGGGCTGTTCAAAATCAACGCACATACAGCAGTTAACCAACAAATGCGTTGTGATTAACGAACAAACACAAACAGATATTCGCGAAGCAAAACGAGTCATATCAGAACTCATGAAGCCACAAGCAATATTCATCATGTGTAACAGAAAATATCCCTTGAAGGACGGACATAAGCTAATTTCTAGGTCAGCATCTACTCATTCACTCAAACCCTCAATTCAAAAATAATAGATCATGGAAAGTGGCCGAGGTCGCTTACCATAAACCATCGCAGTCCAAAACAAATTGTTTCATTAAGATCTCGTAATCGTTTGCAAACAACAATCGTGTTTAAAAAGAGGAATCACAATCCATTTCACACTTCAATTGAAGGTCAGTTATTTGTCTGCGAATCAANATTCGACAGCAGGAATGATGCTAATAATTAAACATAAGTACACGTTTGTATCAATTGTGAAATAAAACCTTCGCATCATATCGATCTTGATCGATAAGCTCAGGTGCCATCCAATATGGTGTACCAACGAATGTTTCCGCACGTCTGTTCATTGTAGTCAACTGAGTTGCTACACCAAAATCAGCTATTTTTACATCCGCGTCGTTACTCAGTAATACATTCGCTGCTGTAGACAATACAAACGAATATGCATATGAACACATTCATATGAAACAATAATCATATTGTTTGCTGCATTCAAATAAATATGGAAAAAAAGGTTAAAAATTATCAAATTCAAAACCAATGATGGAACAAATGTTTCGAATTTGATAAAATTAATCTTCGATTCATCATATCAAACACGTGAGAAAACTTCCATGCCAAATATACGAAGGCGTTGAAAAAGGCACCAATAAAAATCGATTCGTTTCATTCATTCTTTCATAACGACCGAAAATTTTCGTCAAGCGATTATTCCTAACTAGTCAGTGAACGTTCGTTTCGGTGATCTGGTTCAGAGTTAATCGAGACGCTCACAGCAATGAAACAATTAACAGCTGCGCATCATTCAATTTCATGCAGGTAACGAGCAGTTTTTCAAAATCATGCAAAAACAACGACAGATATTACAAATGGATGAAATACTAAATACACTGAATATATTGCGAACAGTTTTAGATGAGATTCAGTGAATAGAATAGCACTCCAGAGACAGTTTTAATGCATTGGATAAGTCATTATTGGAGGAAGCAATGCCAAGAAATGGATCATTCGTTGAAACAATTTTCTGAAGTAGTTTCAAGAGCGAATATAGATTACCGTAGCGAACACATAATACGATTTTTGTGCAATTTTTGCGCAAGAATATTTCAGTAAAAGAATCCTCTAATAAAAAAGTTTGTTGAGATAACACAAAATGCAGCGCAATATTTCTCATGCCCTTCTGCTCGACGCCGATGATCTCGTTGTAGTTAATACTTCACACTCATAAATCATCATTGTTAGATGCAAACAGTATTCGGAAATAAAGATCGATCAGATAAAATGATTGGTGAGATTCATTCAAAGCTAACGTTTGAAACGACTAACGATACAACTTGAAAGTGAGAGATGAAATTGTCAAAATATCGATTACGAGTCCGACTGATTATGCACATATTGCTGAGCAGATTACACTTCAACGAGCACAGCTCCCTGTCAAATAAATCAGTACAGATGTTAGCACAACAAACCTTTAATATCACGATGTATTTTTCGTTCTGAATGCAAATACTCGAGTCCTTTCAGGATTTCTCGCACTATAACCGCAATATGCGCCTCTTCTAATTTACCACTTTTCCTCAGATCCAATGCTGATCCACCACCAAGATATTCCATTATAACCCATAGCTTAGAGCCCTGAAAGCACACTCAATTTAGTCGGTACGTATGACTTCGAAAACAAGAATTCAGTTCGAATATGTAATCGCCCACTCATCGTGGGCTGTTCCGCGATTTTTCACTTCACATGGAAATGCATTTCACATCGAGATTCTAATTCAGTTAGGTGCTCGCAAGGTCAGCGTGGAATTGCGCTTTCCCGTCTGAAATTTTCAACAATTCCAATCGATGATATCAATGAAATACCTAAGTTCAGTTCGGTAATGTCTATCAATGGACATTTGAAAACAATGAAAGTGACAGTCAGCTTCGTAACCGAGAACAAATGTTTACTTTGAGAATGTAAGGAATAAGATGTATCGAACTGCGCTCTTCGGATTTATCGATTAACTATTAATTTCCTATAATTTTAGAAAGGAATTATTCAACTGAAAGATGAGCGAAGAATGGATTAAGTATCAGCAAAAGATGCTTTACCAGTTCATGAACATTCATTAATAAATAATATTCGTTTTCTTTCAGTTACTAATCGAATCAGATATTTTATTAATAGAATTACGTTCGTCATTTGTTTCGCATTCCCGAATTCTCAATCACAGCGTTTTTTTCATCTGACTCGTCGCATACAATCACAATAAATACATTTTATAGGAATGACAAAGCAGATTCCTAACTAATTTCATGTACTCTGTGAACGTCAACAGAACTGGTGTTAATGCTCATTTTGTACGAAACTGTAGAAAATTTCGAACCGAAATGAACATTTCAGTAGGATAACAACACAATCTAGTTGTTGTTAACAACTAAAAAAAAACTTATAATTCTGAATTCAGGGAATTTTCTCTACATAAAATGATGAACACAACGCAAAATATCGATTTAATCCGCAAGAATATAGACAGAGAATATCGCTATAGAATCGAAATCGATTTCTGAAAAGTTTATGTAAGGTTCGATGAGGAAACAACGCAAATGCGAATCGCGGCTGGACGTCTGTTACAAGAGGAAATGTACAAGAGACGACTGCGAATACTGACGAGTGAAATATAGGTTGAATGAACGATACAGAAAGCAATTCAATCGACTGATCCACACTCAACAACTCATTACCTTCAGATAAGATCCAAAATATTTGGTAACGTATGGAGAATCACACTGGCTGAGTACCATAATCTCTTGCTGTATGTCCTCAATTTCATCTTCAGCTTGCTCGAGATCAATTATTTTTATAGCGACAATCTAAAATTAATTTACTGTTTAGAATTCTGAATTGATGAATTGAAAATAAACAGAGAATGATGAAGAATGTGAAGAAAATTTTCATTAATCGTAAAATATCTTAAATGAAACTGTGAGAAGCTGACAATAACTTCAGAACGTCAATGACGAAATTCTTGAAATGCAGCTGACCTGTCCTGTTTCAGTATCGACTCCTTTATATACTTCACCAAACGCACCTCGACCTATACGTTCATGACGAGTGTATAACTTTTCTGGGTCGAGCTTCTGAAACACACAAGGAAATCAATACGCAAACTTTGTGAAGCTCAATAAGGTATCATTTAACTGAGGGTGATTAATCAAATGTTCCTTTGTATTGACCTCCGACATTGTCGTTCTGAAGTGGTAAGCTCTCTTCTTTTTCGAGTGAATAAAATCATTATTTCAAGAACGAGCAGTTGATATGAATTTCGTCAGATTTGCTGTACTTGCATGTTTGTTGAACACTGAATGCTAATTCTCTCCAAACAGAACTCACTATAGACATCGAATTACGGCCCACCTAACCACAATGACCACAGAGAACTCTGTTTTTTAGGGAATTTTACTACAAATTCAGATGGAGCATCAGTAGGCATTTGTTCACAATCGATAAGTGTAATAGTTTGCACTTTACAGATCAACTGATCGTGAGCTGGAGCGTTATCCAACAGCGAATTAATGGTAATTATGATCTACGTGTCCAAGAGGCACTTCCATTTCGTTCATTTTTGAAATAATGGAGGATTCAATAATTCATCCAACACAACTACTTAGACACCATTTATGCCTAT